CGATATCGGACGCACAAGGAGAATGGTCTGGCCATGGGGTATTTATAGACTCCAGAATCCGGGCTTAGGCCCAAAAACTGGGCCTCCGGCCAAGAGTGATCATTACACACCGTCTCATCGCCCAACCGGTGACGCCCGCCCGCGACCAGCCAACGGCTATTCGCCACGTGTACCCCCCCCCCCCCCCCCCCCAACGGCTATATCCTGACGGTACGTATTCCAACGGCTATATTTCCAACGGCTATATTCTGGGAGCCCCCGGACTTTTTTTACTTCACTCCACTTCACCAAGGAGAGCCTCCGGGTACACTTACCCAGAGACGCCCCCGGTTTATGCCCCACACGGAACATAACAGTCGCCCTCGGGATCACTCCTTTAGAAGCCCAAGGCTTCACATCAGGCCACCCCTCGGCGATTCCCCCTCAGCACTGTAAGGGCCGGTTAGCCCCCGGGGAGTATACCTCATTGACGGATAGCCCACAACACACAGATAATGGGAGCCCTCGGATATCCTCATCACCAACTAACCAGCAAGCAGGGGACCCCCTCGGTAACAACTCGACTGCTACCCACAGTCATTACGCCCTCGATCGTCAGATTGAGGGACTCCCCTTCGGCGCCCCCAGGACATCAACAGCAAGCCTTCGGCTAATCAACACATGAGCCCTCAGAAAAGAGAGCCTTCGGCATTACCGTTATTCTCCATTTTTGACCAAGGTTTCACATTTTCGATTCATCGTTGGGGGAATTCGGTGCACTCTTTTTCCCTCATTAGGATTTTTTCCCACAGGGTTTTTCCTAATGAGGTTTTTAACGAGGCATCCCCCCAAAATGAAACGAAAAGCGTCAGCCTTCGGTCCACAACAGCAACGCAACTACTCTACTCCTTTTCACCACTTTACAAGTGCCTCAAGGAGTGGGGGACTGGAGGACCCCCTCGGGAAAATCATTAAATTACAAAATTAGTGAAATTCCAACAAACGACAAAACAAGCCCTCAAGTCCCGACATGTGGGTAACTGAGGGACTGCCTTCAGCAGGGACATAAAAGCAACAACTCCTCACCAACTTCAGAGATTACGACAGGACAACATCGAAGGGCAAGCACAAATTACTCCTTTTCCCTCAAATACCTTTCGGCAAAAGGAGTGAGGGACTCCTGATGGAGTATATGGCCCGGGAACCCCCGGCCCACAGACTCCTACTACTCCAGTAAAGGCCCAACAGGCCCAGAAGGCCTAACAGGCCCAAAACATGGCGTCCGGAGTGCCAAGCAGCCCACAGCGCACCAGGGGTGCCTTCGACCCCCTGGCCGAAGGCTCTAGACTCTCACAGAACGGGTTTCTCAAGCAAACTAAGAAACTGGGAGAAAACGGCGAAAACAGTAGCCCTCGGCACCAGGAGCCCTCGGCACCAGGGTGCCATCGGTTTGAGGAGCCCTCGGCTGCTGCTCTATAGCCGAAGGCACCTCACTCGACAAGATCTCCTCTTCACGCGCGTACAGATCACTGTACCCTGTACAACGTCCCATCCAACAGCCGCATTAAATGCGGCCACATGCGGTTGCCAGCGCCAACCAGATGAGGTGACCTCTCAGCCAATGGATGCTTGACACGTGTCCCTGTCCGGCATTTATTGCTACTATAAATAGCACCTCTTTTCCCCATTGTAAACCACGACATTCATACTGAATACACTCTCTCTCTTACTTACTTGTGCTCTGACTTCTCTCTAAGTTATTCTCAGCAATAACCCCTCGGATACATACCCCGGGTAGACTATACATCACCTCCCAATAACGATTCTTTCAAAACTTAAAGAGAAACTATTGTTTTGAAAACACATAGAACATGTCCCACTATGCATCAATTTTTCGTATGATTCGGGGCTATTCTTTAGTACAAAACGTTTCTTACATAATGTAACTCAAATAAATCAATAGCTGAACATTGAAATTTAAAAGTTCACTGAAATGGGATACTAATACAAAAAAGTAAGAACATTCATAAACTGATAAACATGCATCGAAACTGAAAAACAAGTAGATATTCATAAAATAAATTGAAGCCATCGAACCCATGACATATAAAGAGGTCGTTTTGCAACCCTCATTTTTGGCTTATCAGGTTTATCAGCCAACTTTTTTACCAAACACATAAATTTTGCTTTCGCGCGCTGAATTGTGTAATAAGCCGAAAAAGTAAGGTTGGAGTTACTTTTCTGGCTGTATTGACTGAAGTTACTGTAGATGATCATTTTAGCTATTTTTACATATAATTTTTTCTTTATTTTATTAATAAAATATATTTTAAAAATATTTTTTTCTTGTATCAGCAGAATCAGCCAACGCAGCCACTTCAACCAGAATTTCATAAATTTCAGCAGAATCAGCCAAAACAGCCGATTTTCGTGCTACAAAACGGGCTCAAAATGTATTTAATAGCTCACACTTTGCTTATGAGCTAATTCTCTAAATAGAAATAAATAAATGGTAAAACTGGTAATTAAATTGGGCACAGTAATCATTAATCAATAATGTTGAGAAAATACTTGCATTATATGTATGGAGTATTATATATGTATGGGTCACGTGTGTGTGTATTAAATTGTGTATTAAAACACTTGCATCAAGTTGTGTGTGACATTTCAATTCGATACGGTTCAAGGATGATTCTAAGTGCTAAGTGAAGAATCGGTAATATACTTGGTGGATTGTCGATCCTGGGGTAGCTAGAATCAGGAAAAATAAGGGAGGAGATTGAGAAAATTGCTAAGTAAGATCGAGCATATATTTCAACAGAGTAACAACAAGAGAATTCTATTGCAGATCCCTTTCCACTTATTGGAGGGTGATATTTATACCGAAAAGGTAATACTTGGTGCCCAAGTAAAAAAGATGTTATTCAAATGGAAGGAGGACATGTGTCCTATTTGCCTAACAGAATGAAATGTACTAGTCTAATTTCAAGGTGACGCGTGTAAAAGGTGATTGGAGAGATGATTAATACAACTGGCTGATTGGTACGAATATGTGCCAGAATGCACGTGTGCGTATTTATCTGGAACATTCTTCATTTTGCCCACAGGTGTGACGTGGCACTCTTGTCTAGTGTCGATGACATGGTGATGGCTTTCAAGCAGCATTCTGGTTGACCAAATGCCCAAGTCCACAATAGGTTAGTGATGTCCCGAGCTCCAGGAGGTCAGAGGTTTCAACAAGTGAGCTCATACTGGAGGATATCTTCATGGTCTTCGATATCCGGTAACAGTCATTCCTTCCCTCCTGTTTGACTTCCGTTGACTTCATGATCGTTGCTCAAGGTCAGATCCAGTACTGACCTCAGTGTGCTCGATGTCGGCCTCATGTTTCGCCTTATCTAGGTGATTCCCGAGCTCGATGTTTTTGCTGAGCTCGGAGGGTCGAGGTCAGCCTCGGCTGAATCTTCTGTACTTTGTCAATTTGTCATCTCGTGCTTAGTCCCGACCTCGTGCGTCGAGGTCGACCTCGGTTGGAACTCTGATACTTAAGTGTTTCGTGATGCCTTTGCGGCCTTTGACCGCCGATCATAATACCCCCGGGGTATATGGGAATATACTCCATCAATACTACTACCTCCGTCCCTTAAAACTTTGCCAAAGTTGACCGGCACGGAGAATAATAAAGTAAAAATTGTGTGGTTGAGGTTTGTGCAGAGGAGAGAGAAATAACAGAAACCACAAAATAATTGATTAAAAGGGAAAGTGGCAAAGTTTTTTGGGATGTCCCAAAAAGGAAAGATGGCAAAGTTTTAAGGGACGGAGGGAGTATTATTAAAAAAAGTTGTACATCAATTTTATATTATTTAGTCCTTTTAAATATGGTATAAATTTGAATGATTCTTCGGGCACGAGAAATCCCAGATTCATGTTAAAATCGACTAGAAATCTGTAATGTAAAGTAAAATTTATGATATTTATTTTACATATACAAATTTGGGACATTTCCTTCACAGTTCTCTAAAATTATAGACATGGTAACACATAGGAAAGAATGGTGTTGGACCAAGGTTCGAATCCCCGCAGCGACCGGATGGAGGTCACAGAACCTGAAATAAGGCTGGGCCTCTGGTGCGCACGGGTGTATGGGCCTACTGTCATTCTGCTGACTAAGTCACCGTGACTAATCTCCCCACCATCCTGTCGGGTCGGGGTGGGGGGGCTCCTGGGGTTGGAGATTCCACCTTTTGGAACAATAGGAGAGAATGGTGTTGATCGGGTCCAAAGGAACATCAAACTTATCCAGCGGTTCTTTTAAAAAACACTTATCCTTATGGTAGGTGTAGTGTGTGCTTGGGAGTTTAATGAGAGGCACATATAAAGGTGTGTTTTTAAAGTGCCAGAATTATTTGGGTTGCATTTATTAAGCATAGAACTTTGGTTGCATTTATCTCAGGCACAATCTGCCTTTTGAAGGGAGCAAATCCATAAGTTTATTCACAAACATATACGGAGTAATACACAATTGCAATTTGTGATTAGATATAAAAATGTTTTCGCTCGAATTAATTTTTTCAACTTTTAACGGGATCATTCAAATTTATACAAATCATATTTAAAATCAGATCATACACGTCATGGATAATAAAATACACGTTGTACCAAACTTTTACCGACTAATTCAAATCAGAACAAGCCATAAACTTTCATTCCATGTAATAAAAATCTTCAAAGTGAAGCACAATTGAATTTGTTATTCGAAATAAAACCATTTCTTAATGCTATCCCCACACTTTAATGTCACACTTAAATTTACATATAATAGCAGTCTTCAACAATGGTTGTGTGAAACATGGTTGAAACATTTTTGGGTGCTAGTCTGTGTGAAACATTTTTAAGTGTGTAGAACACTGGTTGTGCTTGTGGAAAATGTTTGTTATAGCCATTAGTTATCAGGACCTAATTCTATAGACAATGATTGTCTGTATTTGTTCCATACAATGTACACGAAGTGAAACCCTAGATACAAGAAGAAGATAAACCTGAGAAGACCACACAATTCCCAAAATATCAACAATCTAAACACAAAGGGCGTCGTCCAAATACAATAGATAATATAGGTGTAAATATTTGTCTAACGCGAATCAGTTCAGTAGCAAATACCCACTGCAGCAAAACCATGTGACTAATGCCTAGGATTACATAAATAAGCCCTAATGGAGCATGAACTGCAAAGAAATAATAAGCTCCCCCATCTTGAGCAGAAAGAAAAGGATAGAGTAAAATTTTATTCCAATATCTCTATAAGACATCTCATTAGTTCTCTTCTCCTTTCACAAACCAGTTCCATGAGTAGGGATGGGCATGAAGGAAAAAAGGGAAAAGGGCACCAAAAACTGATATTCAGAAGCCTCAGTTGATTCTCATTACAAGTTCTTCAAAGCTGATCCATGGGATGGTTCCTTTGGGGTCAACTTTGCTAACAATGCTTTATTATGACAATGGTCCGCATCAACAAAATAGAAACCCCCATTTGCCTTGAAAGTCACAAACGGTCTGTTTGTCTGCGGTGGCCTGATATCTGCAAACTTAATAGTCTTTGGGATAAAAGTTGCCAGCCATGACATCATCTCCACCTCAAAGCAGTCTGATCCAGGCTGCCATCTGAGTTTGTGAACATAAGGGCTAACAAACCAGTGAAGGGCACCTGTGGTGGTGGCACTTAAGAATATTACAGAAGATGCCACTGCTCCCTTTACAATCACATTCATGTCAGGTGATGTCATGAAGGTTATCACTGGGCCTAAGGATACAGATAGGCAACAAGTTGACAAAGAGAGAAGCTTCACTTTCTTGATGGTGCTTGATATTGGACCGTAATACACTACACCTGAGTCCTTTTCATCCTTTTCCACATCACCATTGCCTTTGCGGGGTCCAACGCTGATCTTGTTTTCTTCTCCTACTGAAGTAGATTTAGATAACCACCTCTTCTGGTTATCTGCTCTAGCATGTGGATGAGATAAGGTCTCATAGCTACCCAAACGAAAACCTGTTGATTTCACTTATGTTAACTACTAGTAAAGGATGTATGTTTTAAGACTTTTAACTAAAGAATAGGAGTATGGGTAATTGTAGTAATCATCCACTAGCCAGCTTCTTTGTAGCCACAATTTTAATACTCCATCTGTCCCAAAAAGATGTCTTGTTTGATCATGGTACAACTATCTAATTTTGATATGGTAAAACTCTTGTACACGATCCCCCCTACTTATAGGGTAAAGTTCTTGTAAACTATCCCCCATACTTACTTTTTTAAAATTATTTGTTTGTTAAACAAAGTTTAGCGTTTGGCTTGTATTGAATATCCGTCTGGAAAAATATATAATTGAAGTCAGGGAAACTCGCATTTTTTTCAAAACAACAATATTAAAGTTCGAGAAAATCCCACTTTTGGTTACTCATTTTTTCACACTTCGAAATGTAGCCTATCGTCCGTAATGTAGAAAATTCTGTTAAAAAATTGTGTAATGCCACCCCATAATTATGTACAAATGCTATCCCTTAATTCTGCGACATGTTTCAAATGTCCTCCCTTAATTGTGCAACATGTTTTATGTATAGTCTCTACCGTTAATAATCTAGAAGCACGGATTGTTAAATTATTAACGGCAGAGACCAAATTAACATGTTACATAATTGAGGGACAACATTATTAGATGACATTGACTGGATCTCAAGATGCAGAATAAATGAGGGACCAAAGTATCATTTCGCCTCAAAGTCAATTAATAGTAGTTTCACTTGTTGAAACAGAACTCTTCATGTTATCGTATACGACAAAACTAAGTTTTTGAAGCAGGACTCTTATTATTCTATCAAATTTAATTAGATTCAACAAAAAATGTTTACATGAACACATTACACATACTGTTAAGACTCGGGGTTCCATCCTAAAAGGTCAACCTGTTAGGAGGAGTAGCCCGAAGCTTAATATAGCACTCTAATGCTTCTCAATTTTCCGGTGTGGGACATTTAACACCCCTCCTCACGACTAGACACTTCGTCCGGATCGTGTCGTCATTCATTTTTTCATCGGTTCGTCATTTTTTTTATCGTGTCGTCATTTTTCATAAGGGGTCCCACATCATGGATCGGTTTGGCTCTGATACCATGTTAAGACTCGGGGTTCCATCCTTAAAAGGTCAACCTGTTAGGAGGAGTAGCCCGAAGCTTAATATAGCACTCTAATGCTTCTCAATTTTCCGGTGTGGGACATTTAACACATACCATTGTGTACTATAGCAACAATATGGAAGGAGAAAATAAGAACTCTCTGTTTATTTTTATCTTTTGATAACAGAAACATAGATGCTTGATTGAACATAAGCATAGAAAAATTCCAAACAACATGAAATTCAAAAACAAAAAGTGCAAATAGCAAAGTATACTAAGTCATTAAATAAACACCAAGTCATAAAAACATGACACCGGGAAAATGGGTTACCATAGAGGTTAGAGAACAAACTCGATCTACTTATTCATGTATCTTAAAAACACTGGATTGATGTTTAATCCACAATCCACATATAGAAAACAAACATCAAGAAGTGAGGTCAATAGGCAGATAGGATATGCTACAGTCACACCTAAGTTATATAGAGGGGTCAATCAAGTCACCTTCTCAGTTATTAAAAGCAGCAATCACGCTTGATTTAGCAGGAAACTCTATTATAATTTAACCTATGTTAATGAAAAAGATAAATTTGAGCTGACATATTGATCTGCCAGACATTCATTGTACACCATCCGCTCAGGGTCGGCTAAATTCATCAAACGATATGAATTGCTTCAAGAGAAGATGATCAGATTCTAAATTTTCACTTCCAAGCAGATTTCTTTGATAAACATGAACACCATCGGATGGTGAACCGATGAAAATTGCATCAGCTCCAAACAAAACGACAAGGGTGTTCAGAATTGAAGTGCACGGTGGAAAGTGAAGAAGAACAGGGAAAGAACCTGAACGGAAGTTGGAAGGGTTGAAATGAGTAGCCTGAGATCGAGCCAAACGGAAAAGGGCTGCAGCTCCTGCCATTTTAGCTAGCGGTTGGATTCAGCTGCACAATTTTGCAATGTCTCTCCCTTCGACTAGTAGGGTTTAGCGACTGTCCAGTAATTGTTATAATCTTTTAGTCTTAACGCAAAGAAAGTATCCCAAAAAGGGCATTTGGTCTAGTGGTATGATTCTCGCTTACGGTGCGAGAGGTCCCGAGTTCAATTCTCGGAATGCCCCCTACAGATTTATTTTTTTCTACCCTATCGTTTTTTTGGTTACAAGAGATATGTGCTTGTTTGTACTTTATAGGCAAAAACGGAAAAGGACCGGGTTCTAAATTTATAATGTTTATAGGTCACTAATTATATATACAAAAATAATCACGTGCTTTAAATAATGTAATAAATCACAAAAATTTATAATTAAAATTGGGGGAAACTATTAATTTGGTTGTCTATCACCAAATTGATAGTTTTCTATTAAAATTTTGATATTCAAGTACGAAGTATTATATTTAAAATTTAGTATGAAGAAGAATTTAGTTAACTGACTTGTCCTCCACTAAAACACAATGTTTTTCAATAATTTATCTAACTGACTTCCCGGTTGAATTTTCATTTACAATTTTGTGGAGATAATCTGCATTTTATGAATAATATCTTTATAAAATTCATCAAAAAAACCACCCGAAAGACTCTCGAACAGGATTGGTCAGATAGGACTCTCGTTAGTCCGAGCTGATGAGATAAGTTCTACATGTATATATACTTAAACACTACAAAAAAGTAGCAGTTTTTTGAACTAGCAGGGTGTGACAAAATCCGGATTTTTTGAACTACCGTCCGTGACAAAATCCGTGACAAAGAGCGAGTTTTTTTGTAGTGAAAGTAGCAAGGTGGGTTTATGGGCCAAAACCCTAGTCCAAGCCCGCCCATATGCTATTGTGGGCCGGGTCGGGCCCGATTTGGTGGGTAAATAACGTTCACCCAATTACCCAAATCCGGTCATTTATACGGGCGTGCTAGGCGGGTCGGCCTTGTTTGTGTAGGTATATTTGCCCGGTAGATACAGATCTTTTTGGATACTGGGCTCGTGCTTGTTTGTAGTGTGCATATGGTTTTGAAACAAGTATTTGGATTCGTTTGTTTTTAAAAATGCATCCGAGTTCATAAAGTATTTCAAACTTGTCTTTGGTAGAACACAAAGTATCCTAACTTCCAATTGAATGTGCTTCAATTTGTTTTCATAGATGGAAACTTAGAAAAAAAATTAACTATTAGTTTAAACTAGTTAAAATTGAAACTAAAAATAAAAAAGAGAAATTGTCTATAAAAGTATATGTTTTTATTTAAAATGTGTTTAATATTTGTAATATTTCAATTAAACTAATGTAAAAAATTGTATAATTAAGAGTCACCAAACATTTTACATTTGATAAACTATCAAGCACTTATAGTCCAATAAATTGGAGGGATGTATTAAGAACTCGTTAGTGACTGAATTAATGGAGATCATTAGTAAGCGAAAACTAATTGGGATCGACACTTTACTTTATACTAATATAAAAGATAGTTCAAACTATTAGGAACATCTATTCTATTCTATTCTATTTATATATAAGAAAACAAATATCTCATTAAAATACAAGTATGCCCTTCATTAATCCTATGTGTCCATCTCCCCACAATTTGCTCTTTTGCTATAAAAATGTCATGTGTCATTGGTAGGTTGAGTAGAGATTAAATTCTTGGTGCCAATTGTATAAAAAAATACTCTTTTTTTCAAAGTGGTATAACTTTTTAATTTCTACTTTAATTGTTACAAAAAATATATCAAAATTCATAATTTTTTACGATCTTTCATATGACACCAATATTTATTATATAAATTTTTAAAAAATTATGAAGGTTTATTATATATGATTCATAGATAGATTCATGTCAGGCAACCTCAAATTCTTTTGGGATTAAGGCTTGCATGTTGTTGTTGTTGTATGAAGGTTTATTAAACCTTCCTATTTTCGAATCACGATATCAATTATTCCGTATTAAATGAATAAATAATTTCTAATATATAACCAACATAAGGTTATTGGATACAAATATGGCTTATTAATTTTTAGTTAATGTAATCTATTTATTATATATAAGAAAAGAAATATCTCATAAGGAAGATAAGGAAGATTTACACGCTCATTCTCACTCATTTGTGTGTGTGTTTGACACCTCATGCCAGTAACTGTTACTATTAAAGAATGTAATTATAGACTTTGTCATATATTATATAATGTCCAAATATATATCTGATTGGTTATCCACAATCATGTACATCATAAAATTCGATTGAGAATCCAAGCCGACCATGATGCAACTCTATCTTTACAACATTACATTTGTTATTGTCTAATTATTAGTACAATACACTTCGATCAAATAGGTAGATTTCAACTTCAATATTGTTGGTCCAAAATAGGACGCTCGTAGGCTTTTAGGAAAGCTACGTACGACACTCAAGCAAGAATTAGGAAAGTACGAATATGGAAAGTTAGCCAGAAATAGCATATCTGTATTTGAAATTCGAATTGCCTTTTATAGGCGATTACAAATGGTAACTGCCGAACATAATAATGACTAAATTAATTGCAACATTAATACAGAATTAAACACATAATTAAGTTGCGCATTAATTGTTGGCCGTTACTCTTCCTGGCTGGCAGGCTGGACGCTTGAGCTCCCTCCTGCTGGACTGGACGGTGGGCTTCCCGCTAGGCTGGAGGAAGGCTTTTGACCGGGCTGGAGGCAGGCTCCCGGGTAGGCTGGAAGGCAGACTCCCGGGTAGGCTGGAAGGCAGGTTCCCCGTTGGGCTGGAGGCAGACTCCCACCTGGGTTGGACCGCAGGCTCCCAGTTGGGCTGGATCGCAGGCTCCCAGCGGGGCTGGTGGTCGGTAGACTCCTGGCTAGGCTGGAAGGCAGGCTCCCCACTGGGCTGGAAGGCAGGCTCCCCACTGGGCTGGAAGGCAGGCTCCCCACTGGGCTGGAAGGCAGGCTCCCCGCTGGGCTGATCGACAGGCTCTCTTGGGCTTCCGCTCCTTGATTGCCCTGATTGGTTGGGCCGACTCGAGCTCTAGGTTGCTGGGCTTGGGCCCGCTGGTCCAAGTTCAGGGCCTGGGCCGATTAGACTCTGGGCATGGTCCCATAACCCCATCAAATATGGTTAGTAATAACATACAATTGAGCAGAAGAATTTTCTTTCTCATATGTAGTGTTTTTTGTATTCTATATAGGATAAGCAAACTAATAAATGATCGGAGAAATTTCTCTCTCATGCGTAGTGTTTTAAGTTATAAGTGAAGATAAGATAAATGAAGTAATAATTGAGCGAAATAATTTTTCTCTCTCATATGTAGTGCTTTTAAGTATAATAAAAAAGGTATAAGTGAACTAATAATTGAGCAGGAGGAATTTTTCTCTCATGTATAGTGCTTTTAGATATAAGAAGATATGCAGACTAATAATTGAGCGGGTGAATTTTCTCTCTCATAGAAAAACACACTTTTTTCTTTGGCACAAAATTAAAACATTGGTTCATTAAAATTCAAAAAATGATTATCAGGTAAATATTAGAGAATTGATTAAATTATACGGAGTAAAAAAACAAATTTGTAACCTACAATGTATAATAGCGAAATCGATATACAAATAATTCACCTAAGAAATAAATCTCTCAAAGTTCAGTGTTTCATTGGATTTACTGAAGCGAAGAAAAAGTAGAGAGAGAAAAAGAGATGCAAATGAGATACAAAAGCCGAACACAATCATGAAAATTTTCGGGACGGGGGAAGTACTTAATTGGGTGAATCATTACACATTTGTGCAAGATATGGGAGAATTTTCTCTCTCATAATTGAGCGTTTAGGTATAAGATAAGTCAGCTAACAATTGAACGAAATAACTTTCTCTCATATGCAATGGTTTTAAGTATAAGATAAGTCGGCTAACAGTTGAGCTTCAAGATTTTCTTTCTCATATGTGATGCTTTTAAGTATAAGATAAGATGACTAACATTTGAGCAGAAGAACTTTCTTTCATATGTAGTGCTATTAGGTATATTACAAGATAAACTTGCTAATAATTGAGTAGGGAAATACTCATATATGTAGTTCTTATAAGTATAAGATAAGTCGGCTAACAATTAAGTAGTATAATTTTTTTCTCATACATAGTGCTTTTAGGTAAAAGTTAATCCGGGTAACAACCGGGTGAAATAACTTCCTCTCATATATGGTTCGTTTTTATATAAGATAAGTCGACTAAGAATTGAACAAGATAATTTTGTCTCTCATATGCTAGCACTAATTTAACTAATGAGTAACAAGTTCTTATTTAACTAATACATAGTATTCGTTAATTTTAATATTTATTGTATTCACTTTTTTAGAATAGTATTGAATTTTAAAATAATTTAATCGTGAGAATTAATAAGTAGCATATTCTAATGAGGGGTACTAATAAATTTTTCTGATATACTCTTCATTGAATATTTAACTCTTTATTGTATGAGCCCATACCTAATACCACAAGACTTATGATATTAGCTTATTGTACTCTTATTTTTTTTTAAATGTAGAATTCTACAACGTTATTTTTATTTAAACATTTAAGTAGATAATGAGTAAAAATATATGCACGAACTGTTCTTTCCCGTGCGTATGCACGGGTACTATACTAGTATGAACTAAAATGATTATCACACAAATTAACCTAAAAGTAGTTTTTAGGCGTCATAATTATCTGCTTCAAAATTTGTTTGGATTGTAGAGCTAGAGTTTTAGTCTGTTTGATAATATTAAAATTAATGGAATCGGTAGAAATTGACGAAATGATGCATGATATGAAGCGGTTGAATATGTTAAATTATAAGAAAATCAAATCTATAGAGGAAGCGGTCCAGCCCAGCTGGTCGCCGACTCACTCTCCCTTACGGAAGGTCTCGGGTTCGAAACTCAATGGACTGAATTTCAACCTAGATTACTCCGATCCAGGCTCCCCCAGCCCCCTCCCCCAGATTCCACCTGGAGTAAAAAAAAGAAAATCATATCTATAGTTTTTTTAATCATAAATTAAAGAAAAAAATATAAAATAAATAGCTAAATGGTCTTCTACAATAATTTATGTCAACTAACAAAAAAGTAACTACAGTTTTATTTATTTTGATTATTACATAATTATGTGCAATG